GCTCTTTCCAGCCCACGCCCCGCCCAGTCAGGCTCGGTCCCGCCCACCGCTGGGCGTGGCCGAGCGGGCACAGGGCCACGCCCATTGGGGCGTGTCCGCGGAGAAGGAGGGCCTCTCCTCCTACCCCGCGTGGGCTGCTGACCGGTGTCACAGAAAAGAATCTCAGGACTCCACCAGGGACGGGCACAGGATTAAACACTCGGAGAAAACGGCGTGCAGGCCCTCAAAGACAGCCGCCCTAAAAATACACGCGGGAAGATCGAAAAATATGGTGAATTATTACACTTTTAAAGCTATATTACAGTAAGAAGCACATCGCCTTAAATCTCCTTCAAAATCCTCCCCCTCGCTTCGAACTCGTTTGCCTCCTCGTCCTGCCATCTCCTAAGCAGTCCTGGAAGTGACAGAAAACCCGAGGAGCGCGGCTGCGGGGACGGTCCGGTCCGCGCCCCGGCTCCTCCGGTCACAGTAACGGGAACCGTCGCTTCAGCCCGCTGGGACACCGAGCCGCCCGACCGGCGGCTGAGGACGCGCATGCGCACGGGCCGCCTGGGGGACAGGGAGGTCAGTGCGTGCGCGTGCGCGTGGGGAGCGCGTGCGCGTGGGGAGCGCGTGCGCGTGGGGAGCGCGTGCGCGTGGGGAGCGCGTGCGCGCGGCGGCTTCACGGGAGCATTTTTCACGGCGCGCGGGTCCCTCCGCCTCACCCCGCGCGCCCGTGTTTGCCTGAAAACAGGCTTGGGACCTCTGAACCTGTTTGACTTTAAGTCGGGTCGCTGCCCAGGCTGATTCATAGACTTCTAGGCCCTAAGGGTCTGGGTAGGGGCCTGGAGGAGGGAAACCAGCTGAGCAGCAGGACGCAGAGCTCCGATGCGGACCCTCCAGTGATGCTGCGTCTGAAGTTACAGTGTTCTTAAAAGTACAATTTCAGGGCGAGGGTGGGACGGGCCGGCGGGAGAATGACTGAACTATGTTACGTGCGTGTACAAATCTCCTGAAACGAAACGAACCCCGCGAATCTGTACGAACAAAATGCACTAATAAAATATGGGAAAAAGAATTTTGAAATTTAAGTACAATTTTTAAATTACGATTTTCCTTGTCTCCTTTCTTCCTGACTTTCTAATAAGGTCGTCTACCTCAGTCTGTCCAAGTGCAGATGCAGTAAATCTAAGGACACCTGCACGTGGGTGTGAGTGCATGGACTCTGTCTCATAGGTGCAAAGAAACCGTAAAAGAAGCACTTTGGACTGTGGGCGTCGTCCACAGTGAAAGTAGCAGATCCAGCCCAGCATACGCGAAGGCAAACCAAAAAATCTTCACTCTCACTTTGACGTAGATCTGTGCCCTATTCAAGAAGTATCCCCTGAAACTTTGGAAAAAGGAGAACTACAGTTTCTCACAAGAATTTTCTTGTTTGTTTGTTTTGTTTGTTTTTCTCCGGCACCGGGAACCGAACTCACGACCTTGCACTTGCCAGGCAGGCGCTTTTGCCGCTGAGCTAAATCCCCAGCCCCTTCTCAGATGAATTTTAACAACCTATAAGCTATCAGGGAAGAGGTTATGCACTTTTACCTTTAAAAAGCAGGATGGGCCCTAGATCAGTAGGAGGAGTCCCCCACTAAGGGGTCTGTCTTCCACTACCCTGAGCACACAGGGAGCCGGACCTCAGCTACCCAGCTCCCAAGAGGAGAGCTGTGCCCCTCAAAGCCTGTAAGGGTGGGGCCTGGGCATATAGCTCACTGGCGGAGGCTCGCTGGCCGGGAGGCCCTGGGTTCAACCCCCTGCTCTGCTCCCCATGTACCCCCCCACCCAGTGCACACAGGGGAGAAGACTGAAGTCAACAGGCCACAGCGGTTCCATTCTGTTCTTCCCATCCTCTGGAGCTGGACGTCTGGCCTGGTACCACTATACTTCCAAAGGTCCCTGCTGACCAGGCAACTGACTTGTAAGGGCACACTTACAGAACAGCAGACTTGTAGGCATGTTATAGCAAAAGGGAGAAGTCAGTTCAGCCTGTGACTATGCTCCTGCTGCCTGTCACGTAGTCAGCCTTGACTGTCTATTTCTCTTTGATAATGTGCTGGGCCAACTTGACAGCGTCCAGCTTGTGTTTTCCTTAGTTAGAGAAATATATTCTGTTTCCAACTTGCTTCAAGGACTTCGTGTCTGGGACACTCTGGCCCCGTCAAGGACCCATTTAACTCTGCTTGCTCCGCTCACACCCCTCCCCTCCTTCCCAGAATGTTAAACAATTCCTTTTAAGTAAAGACAATATATGACATAATTCTTGGATTCCAGGTAACCAGTCACGTAATAACCTGCTACTAGCTTTGTATTTCTCACTCACAAACCCTATTTAAACTGAACTCAAACCAGACTCTGGGCTGGTGATTTGAACCTCTAGGTTCCCCAGCTCACTACTGTAATAAAAGTTGCTTTCTAACTCCTTGGTGCAAAGAGTCTTCCATTTGGATTGATACTGGTTTTTTGCAACAGACTGACATGACCAGTTCTTGGGAGGCCCACTTACTGGGAGGGATCCGTGATGAACTCTAGTGGTCCGCCTCAGTTATACACTGGCACTTGGACTTTTATACCACAGTTTCATGGATCTGGCCATTGTCTTTCCTAAGAAAGAAAATTTTGAGGCAGGGTCTCATTAAATCGATAAATTTCCCAGGCTGGGCTCAAACTTGCAATCCTCCTGCCTCAGCCTGCCAGACTGCTGGGGTTAGGAGCATGCACCACCACTCCCAGTCAGGAACCAGTCTTCACTCTCCCGACTGGCCTCTGGACCCCGTCTTTGCCCACGTCAGTCACAGCTCTTCAAAGTATTTTGAAAAGATTCCAGTCTTCCCACATGACCTGGTCCTTTTCCGTGTTCCTCTAATTTACTTCGGGCCGCTGCACCCTTGCACCCTTCCTCCACCTTGCAGCCCCCTGCTCTTCCCGTTTCCCTCTCCGCACACCCGATCCACTGCCTGGAGCCCACCTCACCCCCCCACCCCCCCACTCCACACACACTGGTCTATGTATCCTTTCGGGTTCCACTTAACTGTCACCCACTCAGGGAGGTCTTTTCGGGCCATAGTACTTTTAAAAAATGTTCCCATCATTCCTTTCTGTTTCCGTTGTTTGCTTCACATCATCTGTAACTATTTCTTCTGCTTGTTTATTTTTCTGTCTTACCCCAGCTAGAATGGAAGCTCCTTAAGGACAGGGACTTTTCCTGTAGAGTGTATTCCTATACCAAGGACAGTGAATGACTGGCTAGCTGTCATTATTCCCCTTGTTTTCCTGCCTACCATCTCTTTCCTCTTCTGAAAATAGCTCCTCCTGGCTGTAGTGAGTTCTCCAAGGTGATCAGCACCACCTCATGAGGCCTGCTGCAAAGACTACCCCGGCCAGACAGCCTCTTAGACTGCGCACCATTGTGTCTCAGCAGTCTCCATTAGAACCCCTGGGTCAGGTACCTGGGTCCCTAGCCTCAGAGCATTTCAAATGTAGGATGCCTGCTTTATTCATTCCCTGCGTCAAGCAATTCCAGCCTTGCTGGCACTCAGAAACTGTTTCCTGAAAGAAAAATTCCCCACCGGGCCTGGTGGCACATGCCTGTAATCCCAGCACCAGCAGGCTGAGCTAGGAGGATCACTGTGAGTTCATGACCAGCTGAACTACATGCAGAGCCTGTCTCAAGAGTTAAAATCAAAAATTAAAAAAAAAAATACGCCCACTGGTTCCCCCTATGTGTAACATGCTCCTAGAAGATGTCTTCCCTAACTCTTCCTGAATGCAAGTAATTCTATTTTTCTTCGCTTTTTCTGAGACAGGCTCTCCCTATGCAGTTCAGGCTGGCCTTAAACTGTAGCCCAAGCTACCCTCAAACTCACAGTGATTCTCCTGCCTCAGCCTCCCAAGTGCTAGGATGACAGGCATGCGTTACCACACCTGCTGAAATGTTTAATACAAGTTTAATGTCATTGATAAAAATCACAAATAGGATGAAGGTTTACTAATGTTTATTTGCTTTTATTGATTGAAAAATCCTAATCCCAGGCTGGGGGTATAGTTCAGCGATAGAGTGCGTGTTTAGCTCGGTCTGTCTCCAGCCGGCCCACACTGCCCAGGAAAAAAAAAAGAGCAGAGTTTCCTAAGTCCTCTCGAATATACTGTTTTATGAATATTTTAAAAGTTCAAAATCTAAGTGGAGACGCTTATCGAATCGGTGTGGCCTTTGCACACGTGCGTGCGGGGAGAAGACAGGAGATGGCTTGTGTGTCGCTGGGAGGTGAAACCTCGGGCCCGAGCGCGCTCCGCCGCGGAGCGTCACGGCCCGCCGGCAGCCAGGTGAGCTATCAGGTCCCTGGCGTCCTCCATGGTGGAGGGGCCCCCCGCGCTGGCCGCCTTCTCCGTCGCTTGGGTCCCAAGCAGGAACAGCTGCCGGTCACCTCCCAGCTCGGGCAAGGCCAGCGCTTCGAGGATGTCCATGACGTGGTAGGCGGCCTGCAGATCCTGGGCGGGCGGGAGAGGGCGCGAGGGGCGTCAAGCGGCGGCCCGGGGGCACCCCCGCTCCCACCCGCGCCCCGGCGCCGCCGCTGCACCCGGCGCGTGGCTGGGCAGCGCGGCCCCGGGGGTTGCGGGCATGGAACTGTTTCCACCAGAAGCGGGCCGTCTGTGAGTTACCGAAAAGCTACTTTCTAGAATACAGCGGGGCCAACGCAGTGCCTTGGCTTCCTCAGCAGCGCTGCCGGTGGACCTTCGTCTTCCCACGTCCCCGCTTCCCTCGACCTCACTCTGCAGACTTCGCAGCGCCGCTGTGGTGCGTTTTCCGCTCGTTATTTCCACAGATCAGAAGATCTGGGTCGAAGTTGCGGGTGGAGGGAGACCGGACCAGGGAAGAGGCATTGAGAGACAGGGACCACCGAGGGGGACAGGGCTGAAGAAGGGGAGCCCCGGGGCGAGGCAGGGGGCCCCGCTCGGAGAGCTCCCAGCGCGCACGGCAGCTCAGCTCTGCGGTCTGGGACAGTGAAAGTACGCAAATGAGCTCTGCCGCTCCTTCATGTAAACTGTATTTCAGTCCTCTGCAAGAATGCTGGCATTTTCACTACTGAAGCTGCACGTGTAATTAGCTTTTTGCTGTTTTACAACATTTTTTTGTTCTTGGAAAGGGTCTTTGTTGCCCAGGTCAGTCATATAACTTCAGGCCTCAAGCAGTCCTCCTGCCTCAGCCTCCGAAGTAGCCAGGGCTGCAGCTGAGCGCGCTGCGTCCGCCCAGCGAGGGGTCCCCTGCACATGTCTGGAAATCATCCAGTGTGGAGTCTCCTTTCTTTCCTGTACCAGTAGAACCTACCCGATTCCATCACCGAGAGCCTGTGAGACTTTCCCGGATGTGCTGCTCTCGGTCCGGGCAGGGCCGGTGACCCTCTGGGGGTGGGACGCACAGTAAACTGCCTGCTCGAAACCTGAGCTGTTAGTCCTACAGCGGAAGGTTCTGTGACGGTGTTAAGGGACCCAGCAAGGTAAGGCTGATATCTGGGTCAGCGCGTTTTCATGGGTGGAATTGGAGAGGGAGAAACAGAGAAAAGGGGTGAGGTAGGAGGAGGCTCCTGGTAATGACACAGCACCCCGGAGGGTGTGCCAGGCTTATTCCGCACATCGTTGTGCCTTCACAGGTCATCACTCAAAGAGTAAGGGGAATGACCTTTGAAAGCCAGTATCTAGTTTGTGCTAATATTGTTTGGACAATTAAATGCCGATATCTTGTACTCTGAGTAAGTATTTAAAGATAACAATACACAATATATTAACCATTGTTACCCTCCTATTATCTTGTTTTGAAATTTTGGGTTTTTTTCTCTGTAAAATTTTTTTTTTAAAAAGCCAATATCTAATAGCCTGAACCACTGACTTATCTAAAAACGTATACTAAATAGTTTGGCCAAAAAATCTAAACGAAGATGTATTAAATTCAGATATCGAAGTCTTTAATCACTAAGACCCAGCAACAGTTGTGATGATTCAGTTCCCCCCCCCCCCCCGTAAACGTTCTCCCATAGGAACTGTGTGAGAAAGGCAGAACTGAGCGCCTCTGTTATTTGCAAACCTGGCAAGTGAGAGAGGGGCTCTAGTGTTACAATTGTACAGAAATTTATTTTTTTTCACTTCTTTATTGTGTGAAGTACATGTAACAAATTTGCCATCTTGCCTGGCATGTGACACATGCCTGTAACCCAGTACTCAGGAGGCTGAGGCAGGAGGATTGCCGTAAATTCGAGGTCAGCCTGGGCTACATAGCGAGACCTTGTCTCAAAAAAACTTTTTTTTGCCATCTTGCGGGGTATGGTAGTATATGCCTATAATTCTAGCACTCAGGGAGACTGAGACACAGGGATTTCAAGTTCCAACCCAGCCTGGGCAATTTAGCAATTTAAGAGACCCTGTCTCAAAATTTTAAAATTTTAAAAAAGATTTGGTGATGTAATTCAGTTCAATCCCCAGTACTTAAAAAAACAAAGTACATACACATTGTCCTACAACCATCAACACCATCCACCCCCAAACTCTGTTCATGTTGCTAAACTGAAACTCTGTACCTACCAATACATACAGTGATACCCTCTATGTATATAGAAATATATGTATAATTCCCCACTCCTCCATCCCATAGTCCCTGGCAACCCCATCCTACTTTACCTCTCTGAATTGATACTCCAGGAGCCTCTGTAAGCAGACTTACCCAGTACTGTCACCTTGTGACTTACTTCACTTAGCATAATGTCCTCATGGTTCAGCAGTACTTTAGGTGTCAGAATGTCCTTCCTTTTTAAGGCTAAGTAATATTCCATTGTAGGCATGTACCACATTTTGTTTATCCATTTATCGGTGGTTGGACTTGGTTGCTTCCACCATTTGGAAACTGTAAGTAATGCTGCTATGAACATGGATGTATGAGTATCTGTTCAAGTCCTTCTTTTCAATTCTTTTGGGGACATACCTGGAAGTAAAATTGCTGGATCTTGTGCAAACTCTATTTTGTATTGCCTGTGTGTGTATGTGTGTTATGCTGAGGATTGAACCTATGGCCTCACACAAGCTACCCAAGTGCTCTGTCATGGAGCTACACAGTATATCTTTTTAAAATATTTATTTTGAGACAGGGACTTATTAAGTTGACCAGGCTGTCCTTGAACTTTTAGTCCTCCTGCCTCAGCCTCTATAGTCGCTGAGATTACAGGCATGCGCCACCATATCTGGCTATTTTGCGTTTTTTGCACAACTTCTTACCTGTTTGTGTGCAAACACAACCAGAGGAATGACTGGGTTGGCTTCGATGAGTTGGTGAAGGTATTTCCTGGCTTCAGGCAATCGACTGTGATCAGCTGAATCCACCACGAAGATGAGCAGCAGTCCCTTGGACAGGTGCATTTCCCAGGAGGAGCGGAAGGGCTCACTACCACCAACTGCAGAGAAAGGTAGAGAAGGAGGACACCAAACCCACAGACACGCCTGCCAAGGCGGCACTCAAGGCATGCTGGGTGGGTGTCAGAGTGACCCCGACTCTGAGGGCCACCCTGGAGTGCCGCTGGGGAAACTGCTGGCTGTGGGACTAGCTCCCTTCACAAGGGGAGCACGCTCATTCGCTCAGCAGGATGCCAGCGCTACAGAGAGGCCTCTGCATCCTTGTACACACAGGAGGCACAATGGCCACTGCATGTTCATGTTGTAGCTCAGAAAATTAGGTCCATGTTACCTTGTTTGTTTGTCTATTCAGACAGGGTCTCGCTATGTAGTTCAGGCTGGCTTGAACTCACTTTGATAGTTCTGCCTCAGCCTTCTGAGTGCTAGGATTACAGGTGTGTGCCACCAGGCCTGGCTCCGTAGGAATTTGGGGGTGGGATGGGGTTGTTTGTTTTATTTTGGTTTTTTTGAGACAGAGTCTCACTAGTGCAGGCTGGTCCTGAACTCACTATGTAGTCCAGCTGGCCTTGAACTCTCAGCAATCCTCCTGTCTCAACCTGCCGAATGCTGAGATTACAGGTGTGCGCCACCACGCCTCGCTTCTGTTCCCACTTTGCTGTGTTTTTTAAATGAACAGAAGTTTTGAATTTAATGTAGCTGACTTTACCCATCTTCTTCTCAACAGATGCTTTTTGTATCCCATGAAAACATCTTTCTCTTTGCTGAAGACATGAGAAATTCTCAGTTTTTGTTTCTTTTTTAATCTCTTTTCTATACTGGGGATGGAACCCAGAGATGCTGAACCACTGAGCTATACCTCACCTTCTTCATTCTCTATTTTAAAATTGGAATCCCCCAATAAAATAAAAATAGGATTTCCCAAGTTGCCCACCTGGGCTTCAGCTTGTGATCCTCCTGCCTTCGTCTACCATGTGGCCAAGCAGCTTTCCCTTCCTCGAGGGACCCAGCTCCGTCGTGATTTATTAGCTCTTTCAGATAGTAGGTGATTTCGGTTTATTACGACTTTATTTGGATTTCTCCATCTATGCTTGTGAACTTCCCTTTCTTACACTATTTTTGGATTGGTACAAAGGCACCTCCTACTGGGAGCTGAGGAGTACTTCTTTTTATCTCCTATTCTCTAGAAGAATTTATGTATGATAAGATTGATAGAGCTCAGCTACAAAAACAGCTGCTTTGGTTTCATTACAGACAACTTTTTAGCTATTGATTTAATTTCTTTCTTTATTTTAAAGAAAAAATAATGTTTCAAAGCAGGATAATAGGAGGGTAACAATGGTTAAAACATTGCCTACTGTTATCTTTAAATTAGTTACTCAAGAGTACAAGATATAGGCATTTAATTGTCCCAACAATATTACCACAAACTTTTTTTTTGGTCTTTTGAGACAGGGTCTCGCTGGGTACAGGTGTGAGTGCTGGGGTACAGGCGTGAGCCACCACACCTGGCAAACCTTTCTTTCTTTTCAATGAACTAAGAGAAATTAGTA